ATCATTCCAGGGATAGGCAACTTGGAAATCACGAAAACCGTCCCAGTTGGCTGAGTTGTAGCGCCAAAATGTGTGTCTCGAGGTGAGTGGTGGTTCAGTTTGAAAATCTAATGGAGCAGGAAACAGTGATGAGCCAAGAGGAGGGAGGGTACGAATATTTGAGAAGAAAGAAGGGGCCGAAGTGAGAATTAGATCGAGTGTGTGGGCACGATCGCCTGCGCGATCAGGGACACGTGTGGGGAGGTCAACTACTTGGCTCAGGTTGTTGACCAAGGAGAAGTGTTCGGCTTCGCGCCCCAAAGGAGAAGCAGCAGATAAATGTGTCAACCAGTCCTGATTGTGAACGTTAAAATCTCCCAAAATGGTAATATGGCAGTTGGTGTCGGTTGCAAACAAATGTTCAATGTTGGAAGATAGGAAATCAAAGATGGTAGAATCGCCGCTATTGGAGGAACGATAAAGAACACAAAAGTAATGATTAAAGGAAGGAAGTCAGGGTTTCAGCCACAGCAGCCAGACCTAGTCAGAATGAGCTCCTATTTGTTTATGTAAATAGGAACACATACTCCCAACCCAATTGAATCTTGTCTAACTCGAGTGTTTGATTATTGGAAAACGCTTCGTTGGCATGCTAACTTGCCACCACGGTTTTGAGTGTTGTTTTTTTCAAGTGAACCTCGTTGAAAATTCAATTCGGCTGTCTAAAAACAAAGTGCATTCTTGAATAGACTTGGTCACGTGATTGACTGACGACCTATACCGTCCGGTAAACGCCACCGAACGTTGGATCGTTCATCCGAGGTTGTGTTGCACATTCACCACTACCGATTAGCATCCTCATTATGTAGTATTTAATCAACAATAAGAATATTACGATTATTTTTTAGTATCATTAGTATTTATTTTGTTATTGATGACAGTAGTTCTTGGCAAGCGGGTTTGATGATCCTATGACAAAAACAGCCAGTTCCATTCTCCTAATACGATCAGCTGATCATTCCAACTTAGTTTCACTACGGAAAAGTTAGAAGGCCGATATATAGTTGAACAAACACACTGATGCATAGCACGAAAAAAGGTTTTCCTCCGTACTGCTACAGGCTGTTACAGGTGCGAAGCAAACCAAAAACCGCGTGCGATCGCATGGCGATCCGGTGTGAGCAGATAGTGACCTAGTGATTGGAGCTGTTCCGATGCATCTGTCCATCAAGGGCACCGAGATAGCACACTTACATATATCTAATCATGTGTAGAAATTTCAATCGTAATCATCAAATTCTCATACCAAGCGGTGGCACACGCAGACGGGAATGCAGGAGTGAAAAAAGTTCCGGTTTTATTAGCCATAAAATGTTCACACAGTTCACACTGAAGCAAGTCACAGTTTATTGCCACGAAAATTGGCATGTGCACTCGATTACTTCTTGCTACAGCTAATGGTTGTGAAGCTGTCGTTATTGTTGTTGCAGTTGTTGGCACTACTACACACAATCTGATGGTGAACAGCTATCGGGTCTCAACAAGCTACCTGTTACGGAGGCATCAAAAACGTTACTTCGGATTTACTTGGCACATATTACCGATATGGTGTGGCTCCCGAATACGATGGAGGACGCATCCCAATATTCCTCAATCGGATTCTAGCAAATGCATCTTCTACATCTACCCCTCGCTTCAAATATAAGTGCATAGCGGTACTCGCATTCGGGTGGTGGTGGCGTAGTGGTTTAGTCGCTGTCACAGGCATGCTTTGGATCCTATGGTCCGATTCTCGAGCCCCTCTACCACCACCCGACTTTGGTGGTAAGCAGCTGTCCTCCGGTTCAATACCACGCCTAACCTAGTGCAGGGCCTTATGTGGTTCGCCATTCAAAGTCTCGGATGGGGCTTAGGTTACCGGTCTCCATCACTGAACAGCAGATCCTCGTGACTATGAGGTTCGCCCCATCTGCTGTTCGTCAAACTTAGGTGTGTAATAAAAAATAAGGATGTGATAACCGACAAACAGCACTCATTGGACAGAACTGTTTCGTCCTGCTTGAGACCCACGCACACTGCCTGCTATTCTTGTCCCTCCAATCAGGACTTAAACTACGAACCTTCAGGTTGGGACATCGAATCCTGAGCCCTGGACTCAATACGGTCGACGGTCGTGTCAACTTTTGCGAAGAATATAAGTAATACAATTAACGGTGTCTGGTGCCTATGAACAATCGAATGGATTATTCCAAATTTACTACCTTTAAAAGATCCCTGCTTCACTAAGGGGTTGAATTAATGACACAACATCTGAACCAAAGCACGTGAGTGTTCTTACGGCAATACCACGGTGTGATGGGTTTTAGGCTGGTCACCTGGCTCCTGGTTATTTGAAGTCGCATAAGCCCAATGACAATGTCGTGACAAAGGACGATGTGACTGACCTTTTAAAACTAAGATCATTGACCCCCCTACTTCCGAAGCGAGGGATGCCTTCCTCTTGCCTTGCAGTTCGCACTTGGTTGTGCAAAGGTTAGAGGAGCACCTTCAAAATAAAAAACGCCGAGTGACGCTGGGGACGTCTCTAGTATCAAAATCCCATGCAACTTAATGAACATCACGGCGGCAATCAGAGGCATTCATGGAGCCGGCTAATCCTTTCCAAGGGGCCAAACGAAGTCAAAGTAAAGTGGTCTTACGGGATTCGCAACCGAAACCTGTGACCGGTAGAGCAGCGGAGGGGGGGCAGAGTGTGTGAAAACCGCAATCTATTGAGAAGCCTGTATCGAGATCATCAGAGGATACACTCTGGGGGAAAAGTTAAACGTCCGAGTCATTTAAAACTGCCACAACCGGAAAGGTGTGTGTGTGTGTGTGTGTGTGTGGTTCAGACACTTTCTTCTGGGTTGGTTTGGAATCAGGGTTCTAAGCCAACTTGACCCTGGGTGAACTAACAGCATGTACAACATGGTGACCACGAGAAGGGG